GGGCTCGCTAAGGGCGGAAGCTTCTGAGAGCAGGGAGGAAGGCCTCCGTGCTGTCAGAGGGTGAGAGAGAGGCTCAGGATGGCCTTGAATGTGTTCAGTCTCTGTACACATTTCAACCAGCCATCCGCTCCCCAAGCTCCCAGGAAAAGGGGACCAAAGAGACTGAAGGCAGACTTCAATCAGGAAGGCGTGGTGACAGGAAGACTAAATGCCCCACTAGCCCCTGAACACCTCCGGCAGGGATGGCCAGTGTTCAAAGAATCTCGCTCGCTTCCCAGGCTAGAATGACTGCTGCAAAGTGGCTGTCAGGCCAGGGACTGCGTTTCCCAGCCTTCCCTGCATCTAGGCAGGCCGCTCCCTGGTTCTGGCCAATAGGATGTGGGACAAGTGATGTATGTCGCCGCTAGGCTTGGCCCATAAACATCTCCTTACACAACACTCCACGCCCTCTTTTCCCTTCTGCAGTGACTTCGGAGCCACAACATGGAAGGGGCCTGGGTCCCAGCATCATTGTGTGGTAGGCTTGCCACTGAGCACAACACTGGACTGCTGTGGAATGAGAATTTCTATTGTGTTAAGCCACTGAGATTTCAAGGTTTGCTTGTTTAGCATCGACAGTTCCCTTACCTGACACGGAAATGGGCACTTAGAAATGGAATGCCTTGTAATGCCCGCTAAGCTGACTTAGAACCCTATGAGGACAGGGTCATGTTCCATTTCATTCTGTACCCCAGCACCTAGCACAACACTGCAGATGTCCATTGATATCTGAGTAAATACATGAATGAATGTCCAGGGGCCTCATAGTCCTTCCCAGCTTCTGGATGAAAAGCCTGGGGTCTCTCATTGCTTTTCTCTGCACCCCTTCCTTTCCAGCTTCAAGAAGCAGAGAAATGAGAAGAAAGGAGTGTTACATGGGCTGAACAGAGCCAGGGATATGGGCCCCTGGGTGAAAAGAACAAAAGAATAATGATAATCACCTAATTCTGTTAGAACTCACTATGTGAGGGACCACTCTAAGTGTTCCCTGAGCTCACACAACAGCCCTCATATGATCACCCTCATTTTTAGGTGGGGAAACCGAGGCACCCCACCGTTAGGAAAAGGAGCCGGGTCTGAAAAATGAGGTCGGGGAACACCAAGGCCTCACTATGTGAGGGACCACTCTAAGTGTTCCCTAATGACTCACTGAGCTCACACAACAGCCCTCATATGATCACCCTCATTTTTAGGTGGGGAAACCGAGGCACCCCCACTTTTAGGAAAAGGAGCCAGGACTGAAAAATGAGGTCGGCAACCGAGGGAGAGGAACAGCTAGGTTTGAAGAAAGGTGTCCCTGAAGAACGCCATGTAAAATGGAACACATTTTAAATGACAGGATTCTTCAGCTCTGGAAGACATTCTCCAGCGGGTAAATTCATGTTGTGATTTTCTTGTTAAGATCCATCATCTCACTCAAATTACTACTTCAGGGATGAAACCAGGTGCTCAAAGCCGGTTTCCTGTGAAACACGGGCTTCCTGTGAAAGGGAGGAGGCCCTGACCCAGAGGCAGGTCCTGGGTCACCTGAGATGCAGAAGATGAGAGCGCGGGGCTCACCTGAGCGGGCGCCGATCCGGAACTGGGAGGAGCCCTCCAAGGAGTAGATGATGGACTCCTGGCCGTACTCCCGGGAGCGGTCCAGGTCCGTGGCATTCAGGATCAGCACCGTGGCTCCTGCCGGAAGACAAGGGGGGGCGGGTGTATCTGCTGCTCACCATGGCCTTTCCCCAACCCCTCCCTGGCTGGTCACCATATTAATACACTCAGATTGACCAACTTTGACTTTGAGTCAAAAAGAAATGAAGCTCCATATTATTCTACCTCTATTATATTCCATTTCGGTCTTGTTTTATCTTGTTCACAGGGGAATTTATTAGAGTTTTTATTTTCTATTCACTGTCCAGTTAAGGCCTTGACCCTCATTTCTTTCTTGGTGGAATCTGGGCAGGGTATTGGCCTCCCCAGCTGCCCTGGCCAGACCCTGCGAGCGGCTTGTCTGGCAGCCGAGCCGGCCAGGGCTTTCTGGGCCCTCCTGCCACCCAAATGCCAGCTCTGGCAGAGGGGCGAGCAGGTTCAGTATGAGGATCTCTGGGCTGGAATCCGGTGGGACCTCTGCCAAGTGCCTTAACTTGTCTGAGCCTCAGCTTCCCCCTGTAAGACGGGTCTAACCATGAAGCCATGTGTGGGGCTGTCAGTGACGGTCCCACGGATAAAGCGTGCAGGGCGCAGGCCTGGCCAGGTAGTGCTCACTGACCTGCAGCCGGGGTTGCTACTGTGCTGACGAACCAACGGTCCCGGGGGGCGTAAGGGGCCAGGCAGGTGCTGAGGGACAGGGAGGTCATTCTGGGCCCTTCTAGTAGCTGTGGGGCCTCGGATTTGACTCTCAGTCCTGCCCTAAGCAGGAGACAGATACGTGGGCCGACACACCACTTTAACCAAGCACATTCAACTCTGAGGAGGAGTACGTGCCACGATGGAGGCCCCTCCTTGGCAGAGTCAGGGGAGGTGGAATGCAGGGGCCGCTTCAGCAGTGACTTCCTCCAGGGGATGCCTGAGACTGGGATGGGGGAGGGTGGGCCGGGTACAATCTGGTACCCACCCAGCAAGTCATCAGACACCAGGGAGGTTCCAGGAGGCTCTCTGTAGAGCCGGCCGACACACCACTTTAACCAAGCACATTCAACTCTGAGGAGGAGTACGTGCCACGATGGAGGCCCCTCCTTGGCAGAGTCAGGGGAGGTGGAATGCAGGGGCCGCTTCAGCAGTGACTTCCTCCAGGGGATGCCTGAGACTGGGATGGGGGAGGGTGGGCCGGGTACAATCTGGTACCCACCCAGCAAGTCATCAGACACCAGGGAGGTTCCAGGAGGCTCTCTGTAGCTCTGAGGTG